AATCGATGATGAAATTCGTTGCCAACGCTTTTAAAAGTCGATTTTTATCGATTTTATCGATTCGTTGTTGCAGCCCTAGACTCAACAGAAATTCTTCGAGTTACATCTTAACGGTCAAACAAAGTAAACAGTAAATTAAACAAAAATGTACCTCATTCCCCGTTTTCCCTTGCGAGAAAATGAGAATCTTCAGTCCTTTACTATGTAGTTTATCCAGTGTCCTTATCACTGGTGGCTTAGGCAGAGGAAACAGTGAGGCGTCTGCCTGATAGTTTGTTTTAGAACCACGTTATTAAGTAATTTAGACTCATTCCCCCGCATCAAAAAAACAATATTCAAGAAACACATGAAATTATGCTTTTAATATTCAACCTTTATTACTAGAAATGTATTTATGAGCTCTATATTTTTAACTTAAATATTTATTAATCTATTATTTATTAATTTATTTATACTGACTTCGATGGCAGCTACACTACCTAGATATGTTTTCCTTTAAATCATTCCTCTGACCTTATTTAGACTGTCTTTGGCTTCGTCCTTTTGTGACCACTTTTTTGTTAAAGTGTCATAGTTGGCATCCACCTTTACTATTTAAAACAAAAGATTGGATTTTAGAGCAGAGGCAGGTGAAGTGGAGCATACGACCAGGACTAGTCTAGCTAGTTGGTCCCATTCTGGTAGATTGGATTAGACTGAATGGTTGGTAAACTTTACTTCCTCTGCAGGTGGAGGATTATGAAGAGGAGCCTCTGTTACGGACCGGCTGTAAGGAGTACTTCTGGCTGCTCTGCAAACTCATCGATAACATCCATGTGAAAGATGCCAGCCAGGTGAGACCCTCCTAATGATCAGAAACTTTTTGTTGAACTCTCTGTTTCATCCTCCTGGTTTTGCATTGAGCTGCTGCTAGAATTGGTCTGTTTGAACTCACAGAAGGTCTCTCCCTCTCTGTCGCTGACCGGCTCGATGCAGACCACCCTCCTGGACCTGGACGCTCTTGCCCGGCACCTTGCCGACTGCATAAGGAGGTCAGATAGACAGAGATGAACATTGGCCGGCTTCAGTCATGGATCCTATGCAGATACATTAACTTGTTGTGGTTCTGTAGAGCAAACTGATGTGGTGAACTTTCTCTCACACCCAGCCGAGAGATCCTGGATCAGCAGGACGGGAACATAGAGGACGACGGGCTGACGGGGCTGCTGCGTCTCGCCACCAGTGTTCTCAAGCACAAGCCTCCGTTTAAGTTCTCTCGCGAAGGCCAGGAGTTTCTTCGGGACGTCTACAACCTGCTCTTCCTCCTGCCCAGCCTGGCTGATCGCGCTCAGCCCAAATGCAAGTCTCACTCTGCCAGAGCGGCCGCCTATGACCTGCTGGTGGAGATGGTGAAGGGCTCGGTGGAGAATTACCGGCTGCTCCACAACTGGGTGATGTCGCAGCACATGCAGTGTAAGAATGTTTGGTTCCTCTGGGTGCTAACAAGTCATTTCATGTCAGAACTACGTACTTTTTAATGCCTGCAAGCTACACTCTGTGTCAGCAGTCCTTGAAGACGATGATCTGACTCAATTTGAGCTTTGCTATAGTGAGATCCGTCTGCCTCCAATAGATGCTTCCCCTCATGTGGGACTTATGCTGGACAGACGGGAACATTATTCTATGAAAGATCAGCCTCCAAGTGACTAAAGGTGCGATCAGTGATTTCTGGTGTTTCCTTCCAGCTTCTCACGCCCCGTATAAGTGGGACTACTGGCCCCACGACGACGTTCGGGCAGAGTGCCGCTTCGTTGGACTTACAAACCTTGGAGCGACCTGCTACATGGCGTCAACAATCCAGCAGCTGTACATGATCCCCGAGGCCCGCCAAGCCGTCTTCACCGCAAAGGTCAGAACCCACAGGTCAGACGGCAAGAGGACGGGCTCAGAAACAGTTCAGTTCCTAACAGAGATTATTTAATGTGTGCAGTACTCTGAGGAGATCAAACACAAGACCACGCTGCTGGAGCTGCAGAAGATGTTCACCTATCTCATGGTAAGATTTCAACCAGCAAGGCTGGTCTATTAAAAATACTACCAGGTTTCTTTAGATTAAAGCCTCATTTCTAATGCAGGGTTCCCGCGGGTCCTTAAAAAGTCTTAAAAGGCATTGAATTCTTGAAAATAAAACTAAGGCCTTAATTGATATTAAAATGTCTTAAATCAGTCTTTCGTAGGTCTTAATTTCTAAAACATCATAAATATGATTATTTTTGTTACGATTTATTTTGTAATCTAAATAAAACGTTAAAATTGACAATTTTTTTTATTTAAAAAAAAAATAACGGCTCGCCATTATTGGTTCCGTCCCGATAGCGGAACCAATAAAAGCGTTGTTGCTGCTGGGACATTTGGGATATACGCCAATAATTTTTTGTCTTAAAAATATGAGCAAGTGTAAATGGAACCAAAATTGTCTCCAGCCAAGAGTTTTCTGCGTGGCTGAAACCAGGGAACATACATGAGGCTCAGTGGATTTATGCAAGAAGTCATTCAAGCTCAGAACGATGGGAATTAAGGCAGTGGAGTCGCACATGCGAAGCACGAA